AATCTTCGGAATAGATTGAAGATTTCATCAGGATAATACGAAATTTCTCTATGCTGCATGTTTGTTTGCACTACCGCAATACTCATAAGAACCAATGGTAACGTTTATGACTTTCGATTTCAGCCGTAAATGCTTGCAGTGTATTTTCTACTCAAATTCGAATTAACCGATAAGAAAACAGTTCTCGAATGTATTTTACTAATAAAAATTTATCTCATAACAGGAGCCGATAAGTGTCCATATTGTTTGTTTTGTAAAGCCTTTATTAATTCAAATTTTACATTTATCTTTTAGAATCACGAATGAAAGAAAAATTATTCTTTATTTCTGAATCATATAAACTTCTTTGTTCACCACAAAGATCATTACTTGATCAGGTTTGAATATATATATAAATAAATTAATAAGAAAAAATTTTCATATATTTTTTTTTAGTAGAATTATCTTAAAACATTACCACATCATTTATTTGGTTCTTGGGAAATAGAGAAAAGAAAACGACCATATTTTTCTATTGTTATACAACGATTATTAGAATGTGTACCTAATCGTTTATATGTTAAAAGTGCGTTTCTTTTGAAACATTTCAAAAGTCCTGGTATGTAAAAATGAAAATATTAGATTTCACGAAAAAATTTGAAAATAAAATATTTCAGATATTATTATTTGTTTGAATACTAAACAACAACCACAAATTATTCCAAATGGAATGATGAAAAGTATTGGTTATTTTGATGAGAATGATAATGAATGTTCATTGTAAGTTATTCAAAAATTTTCTTTTTGAATTCAATAACTATCGACTATGAATAAATCTTAATAATAACAGAAAGTTTTGCAAGAAAAATTTTTCAAAAAAAATAGTTTTCTATACATCAAACATAGACGAGATTCGTACTGCTCATCGTTTATTATACATAAGAGGTGTAAGCCGAGCGGCTGAGCCGTCGCCGCCACCGATCAACTCATTGGCTTACACCTCTAATTATACATTTCAAGGTGAAAACGAGACTAAAATCAATGTTGAGTTCGATCCATAGCTTACCATCGAATTACAATGAATATTGAATTATCAATTGTTTTTATAGTCCAAAGATGTTTAATACCATTCGTTGATCCATAATGAATGATCGGTTTTTCGTATTTTTTTTTTGACGAAGGTACTACTTGAATTATAACTCGTTGTTTGAGCTCATATTGGATCCAAAAAAAAGTCTTGGTAAGAATAGAAAAAGCTCTAGAGTGTTTGTAGCCATCGTCCTCTGAAGCCAAGTGATGACAATCATAGATTTTGCTATCTTCAATTTAAACGTATGATATTTTTAGGTATGCACTTCAAGTACTTAGTGAAGAAGAAGTGTGTGTAAATGAACCATTTCGACCACTTGGTTTATTCTATTCAAAAGCTTATCAACTACAAAAATTAAAATATATACCTGTTATTGTAAGAATAACTTTTCTTTTACAATACTTTTTTCAATTGTTTCTTTTCTCTTTCCAGATCTATCCAAATGATTCTTTACATCAAGTAAAAACAACTAAAGAAGTATTTGAATGGATTGTGCAACGTGCACAAACAACAGAATTATTAACTTTATCATAAATTATGATTAGAAAATTTTTTATGTCCTAGAAAATAAGAAAAAAAAATACAAATGAAATTTTTCTTTTAAAGTTTTAGATAAGAAAAAAAATGAATAAATAATGTCATCTAAAAGTGAATTAACAAAAACAATCGAAACTCAACAATCACGAATAACACTTCTTGAACAACGTTTTGCTGGTTAGATTATAATCATGTATATTTTCTTTTTTATTATTATTAATTCCATATTTACAGATGTTGTTGCTGCATATAAAAATTTACGAAAAGAAAAAGAAGTACTTGAATCTACTGTTCGAGTATTATCATCTCCAGCAGCATCTATTACATCAAGTGGAGAATCAACAGTTACAGAAAATGAAACAAATTTAAATACAAAAGAGGTAATAATAATACTTATTTATCTTGAAAATTTTAATAATTTCTAAATGAAGGATAATGGATCTGGTAGTGAAGCAGATAATACCCAAACACAATCTGAACAACAAATATTTAAAGAAAAATTTCAAACTTTACGACAAAATGTTGCAATTATCACAGAACAAAAACAACGTATGGAACAAATGTTTCAATCAGACAAACGCAAACTTAAAGTTTGATTATTTGATCAATTATAAATATTAATATTATTTTTTTTTTGTTTGTATATTTTAGACCGAAAATGAAGAATTAAAAAAATTACTCGAAGAAGCAAAAGCAGAAAATATTATTATTAAAGAAAAATCTGACAATGAAATTAAAGAGGTTGTTATAAAAAAAAACAAAAATTTTAAATTCATATCTAAATATTCCGAAAAAAAGAGATTTCAAAAATACCAATGCTAAAGCTTTAGTCATTAATATTAATTTTTTAATTAGATTTTCAATTTTAAGTAAAACATAATTGTAGAAATTTTGTTCATTGATAAATATAAAACTTTTCTGAATATCCCATGTCTCAAGCATAAAACAAAAGTTTTCGAGATTTTCTATTGATGATACAAATTTTGATTATACTAGCGAGAACCCGTGCATATTGCACGTGTGTTTCCTCCTTTAAAGTATGACCTTAGACTTTTAATTTTTCATCCGGTAACAGACATATAGACATCCGATATTATGAATATAGATAGATAGATAGCCCTACGGCCTCATACTCTTATATCACACATATTTTTATAGTCCAGGTAGCCTTCGACCTTATAGTCTTATATTCCTTATAGCCTTATCTTCTTATTGCTTTATCCCTTATTACCTACCAGTCCTTGAGGACCTTGGGTACCCTAATATAGTAGCCCTTGAGCCTTCCGCTTATAGTCTTATTTGACCTTTGACCCGACACAGACATTGAGAACACATAATTCATCTTTGATGACTAATGTTTTTTTCTTTTCTGCTTAATTTTAGTTGAAAAAATCATTACGACAATCTCAACGTGATCATGAACGTGAAACAGCTGATCATGGTGTTATGATGCGTGAATTACAAACACTTCTCTCAACTGAACGTAATAAATCTGAAACAATGGAGCATCAAGTAAGTTATTTATTGTATTGAAACAAAAATATTTTCTTTTTATTAGTTTGAAGAAAATCGAGCAAAAGTAGTTACACTTGAAAGTCAATTAGATACATTAAAAAAACAATATAATAATTTAAATAGTCAATATCAAACAAAATTAAATGATATAAAAGAAAAATATTCGTAAGAAATTTACAAGAAAATTTTCTATAAATATTCATATATATATATATATATACATGTTTATTTTCAAAAGAATTGATTTGGAAGAATTGAAACGTTCAAAAGAAAATATTGTTCAATTAACATCAAAAATAAAAGATATGGAAGTAAGTTTTAAAGATATTTTTTCAAAATAGAGACTGTACGGTGTGAGTAGGTGAAGAGAAGATAGACAATCCTACCTGTACCCACACCTTCTGGGCAGTGTTTTATCTAGATATTCTCTTCCGAAGGAGTGATTTAAAACTCCAGAAAAAGACCAACCAAATCTTCGGCAAGGCACCCATTCTGAATAGTACACGGGTTCTCAGTTAATATGATCATTTTGATCAGATGAGATTATAATTTGCCTTTATCTTATCGATCCATTAGTTTTAATAATACATTTAATGATCAAAAGTGTCTTGCTTGTTTGTGATCATTTCATAGGAAACATATTTTGATTTTGTATTTTTGTTCTCCAGATCAAACATGTTGAACAATTACGTGTTGAATCAAAACGCAATCAACAATTAGAAAAAAAATTAACTGACATTACCAGTGAAAATGCTCAAAAAATATCAACAAGTGAAACACATATTGCTGAATTATCTGACCAGATTGGTGTTATTGAAAAACAACGGTAAATTTCTAAATTTTTTTTTTTGTCTTTTCAAAAAACAAAAATCCCTCCTTTTTCAGTGCACAAGATCAAATGATTATTCAACGATTAAAAGAACGTATAGCTCAACTTGATGTTGAAAATGCTCTATTGACAAAAGCTTCATCAACATCTATTGAACATGATGATATTGATATAACAAATAATGATGATGATAATAATAATCATCGTGATTTAGATACATTAATGCAACGTATTGCTAAATTAAAAGTTTTAATACGTGTTGCAAATGATCGTTTTGGTAAATCTTTAACAATTGAAGGTAAAAATAATGAAATTTGACTTTTTAATAAATTTCTTTTTATTAAAATAGATATTCTTAATATTGATCGTGAAATGTCATCAGGAACAACAAATATTAATGGAATAAATTTATCAACAGAAAATAATAAAATATTACATAGTAAATGTTATGAAGAAATTGATCGACTTAAAAATGAATTAGAAAAATATCGAAGTAAAACTGTTGCTGTATTTAAAGCAAAAAATTTTAAGGTATTATAGAAAAATTTCGAAAACATCAGTCTTTTCTTCGTAAACATACCAATATGAATATAACTTATACTCGCAGATCCTCATATATAGTGTACTGATATATAGGTCAAACTTGAAAGTTGAATTCAATTATTCACAAAAATATATATATACAAAATGTTTCTCTCAAATATTAGATCTTTTGGTCATCTGACAAGGATTTCTATAATTCCGATTTGACATTATTGATACTTTCATGTACTTGACTACTTGCCAGTACAAGAAGTGATACATGAGATGAGATTAAAATATATCATAGAGATGCATAAGAATATCTGTCAGTGGACTATCGATGAAGATAAAAAAAGAGTGTGATGGTTTAGCACTAGAATTCTGCAGGACAAACTTTTTTCAACGCTCGAATTCAGTTTGTTCCGTAATGAAAATTTGTCTGGACAATCCCGAATGTCTCACGGAATCGAGATTGTGAACTATAATTAGCATGAATAATTTTGTAGGCAGGCAGGCTGTACGAATGCTTGTTTACATGGTAAAGTTTTACGGTTTTTTCTAGAGTATATTTTATGTTCATACTTGCACAGCTCTCTTTTTCGATACGATCTAAACTATATGTTGAATTATAGTTTGGCTTTTCTGAGCATTCGAAAATAGTATTGCTGATGAAGTTTATGATGTTTTTTGAAAGTTTTCTCGAGATTTTATTGAAGTATCGTATATTAAAAAAAACCGATGGTTTGAATATTTCAGTTACTGATATGTTTGGAATTTTTTTTTATAAATTTCTAATATATATTCTAAAAGCACTATTTCCGTAGGGAACTCTTGTATCGCATTTTTCATTCGTTTTAAATATGGAGTCATGGTGGGCCACGAAATCGAACGTAATGTTGTAATAGCATATTTTGGTTACAATTTGACATCAGCCGGAAATCTATATTACTAGATCTGATTGAGAAATCTTGATCAGATAAATACGTACTGATTAATCCATAATAGGAGGATAACTCTTGAATATTTCAATGTATTGCACTTAAGCATAAAAAAAACATTTCTCACTATTGGCTATTGTTTAACTTCATGAAACTAATAGAAATTCTCAAGAATTCGAAGCCATGACCTATATATCTAAACTGAGATCTCTTATACCAATATAAAGGGTATCCCATAAGTTTTGGGTCTCAATGAAAATTAGTTGATATATAAACAAAGAATGATCCCTACCCAACTATATCTATATGAGTTTCGAGTACTTAGGACGATGTTTTAAATGAAATTATCTCTTTTAATTATAGCCGTATAAACAGAAGAAAAGTGATAATTAGGGTGTAGGTGCAGAGGATATCTACACATCCATACCTTCGCTGTGTATTATAGTTTTATGGTACATACGATGAATTCATAATTCATTAAAACTCTTCAAACAAAATATTGGTCGATTTCTAGATTTTCATTACCACGTTTCTTCTGTCAATATGACTATTATTAAAAGAGACAATATCATTTAAAACATCATTCGCAGTATTCGAAACTCATATAGATATAGTTGGGTAGGAATCAATTCTTTATTTACATATAAACTAATTTTTATTGGAATATCCTTGAATATCTAATAAACTATGTATTGATTTCTTAGGATATAAATGCTTCAAAAGAAATCGATGATTTACGTAATCAAATTGATCAGTTACGTGAAAAATTAACTCAAAGTCAATCATTATATAATTGTGAAAATGATCGTCATATACAAGTTGTTGAAAAACTTGAATCTTGTATAACAAATTTACATAAACAACATCGTCAAGAAATTGAACATATATTAACACGAAAACGTATTGAATTAAATGAACTTGAATGTGAATTAGAAAAACAACGTGAACGTATACAACGTTTATTAAATGAAAAAGATCATGAATTAGAAACAATGAAAAAACAACAATTAGAACAATCAACAATTCTTGATAATAAAATAATTCATTCAACATCTAATATTCAACAAATTGATGAATCACCAACAATAATGAATGAATTATTTTCTCATAATCATTATTCAGCATCATCATCATCAACGATAGGCGGACCAATAAGTTCTGATAATAATAATCTTTTATATTTTATTCAAGAACAACAATTACGTGAACAAGAATTAACATCATTAAGAAAACAACGTCATGAACTTGAATTAACAATACGTGATTTACATAATAAATATTCATTTGAAATAAATCAATTACAAATAACAATTGAAAAATTAAATGATGATTTAGAACATATTAAATTAAGTACACAACGTAATGAATTATTAACTAAAAATGAACATAATATTGATTATATAAAAAATGTTTTTTATCATTATTTACTTGCTAATGATACACAAGTTAAACATACAATGGCAAATGCTTTAATGACTATTTTACATTTTTCAACAAAAGAAAAAGCTAAAGTTGAAAGTCAAAAACATACGACTAGTTTAACAAGTGGTGGTTGGTTTAATCATAAATAAATATTCTTCTTTTTGTTTTTCTCTTCTATGTTTATGATGCATTCCATATAAATATATTTCATTTTAAAATTTACAAAAAAGAAAAAAAGAAATATTATTTTTTAGATTATGTTTTATCGAATTCGATTTCCTTTAATACAATTTTATCGAAATTATTCTATGAAACATGAACCTATACATCGAATTATTTATTCATCATCAACAAATATTTGGTTTAATTTAGCAACAGAAGAATGGTTATCAAATACAATTAAACCAAATGAACATATTTTATTTCTTTGGCAAAATGATAAATGTGTTATTATTGGACGAAATCAAAATGCTTGGGTAGAGATTTAATTTTGTTTTTCTTTTTTTTGAAAAATAGAAATTAAGAAATTCAAAAAAAAAAATTTTTAGAAAGAATGTTTTTTAGAACGAATGGACAATGATGGAGTATTACTTGCACGACGACGATCTGGTGGTGGTAAGTTTTTGAGAAAAATATTTGAAATAGAATCTATTAGACATAAAGAATTAGCAAAACTGAGATTTGAACTATGCTGCATTTGTCATATGAACAAAAAAAAAATGTCAAATGAACTTGTTTATAATGAAAGATTGGTAGGCACCGAAGCCGAGTCTTTGAGGGTTTGATTTGATATAAATAAAACACTTGAGCAGCAATAGATACATTCTTATTCTATTCTGTTACTTCTCACCGTATTGATTATAAAGCATTCAGAGATTGGAAAAAAATGTCTAATAGAAGAATTAAGACTTTTTTTGAATTCTATATTTCGGATTGAAAATCTACTTGAAACATTCGATCGATTTTTACATTCTGTTTATAGAAGCTTCGTGAGATAATTTTTGAAACATAATAGAGTTTCTTATTGTAGAACTTTCGTAATACTTTTTCGGTTGATGAAATAATGATTGGAAAATTGTCTCACTGTACTTTGTAAATTTCAAGAACGTTAATTATTATGATTCTAATGTCTTGATTTCAGTACGTTTTGATCATGTTCCAGTTTTATGTCCAAAAAAATCATTTTCGGATCTGAAAAAAATTAGTCTTCTACTTCGAAATCACTACTGCACATTTATCTTTACATACAAATCACCCTAAATGGTCTGCACCGTTTGAGTTCATATTAAGCCCACAAAAACATCTTGGTAAGAGATACAAAAGTCTAGAAATGTCCATCTCGATGGTTCTTTCGAGTCGAGTTATGATCATATTACTGTCTTGTCGAACAAGATTTAAGTTAATATGAAACTTCAATAAATCAACAAAAGAACATTATATACCGAAAAATTCAGTAAAACGAATATAACTCGGCAACGGAAACAAACTCTTATAGACTTTTGCTAGCATCATCAAGATATCTTTGTATATTCAATATAAACTCCAATGATGAGTACCAGTTCCATTAGTTCTCCCGTGTCAGGTAATCCTACTTTTTTCTCTATATACACTCTTAATTTCGATTATCTTCGTACAGAATTATTAATTATAATTGATATTTTGAATATGAGAATGCTCAATAGAATTCATGCATTTTCTTTTTATTGTTTAGGTGCTGTTTATCAAGATTTAGGCAATACATGTTTTACATTTCTTGTTTCACAAGCTCATCATAAATTAGATAAAAATCTCAATTCAAAAATTCTTCTTGATGCTCTTCAATCATCATTTAATATTCAAGGTCATATTCATGGTCGAAATGATCTTGTCTGTGGTTCAGATAAACGTAAATTTTCTGGTTCAGCTTATCAAAATACTCATCAATTTTCTCTTCATCATGGTACATTAATAACTCATGTTGATACAAATGCTATGAAAAAATATTTAAATCCAAATAAAGAAAAATTAAAATCTAAAGGTGTTGATTCTGTTCAAGCACGTGTTATTAATTTATGTGAAATAAATCCATCAATTAATCATAAAGATCTTTGTTTAGCTATTGAAAAATCTTATCGTCAAACATATTCAAATAATAAAATTCAACCTATTGAAATTTTATCACGAGAAACACTTAATTTAATACCTGAATTAAATACATCATATAAATTTTTTAGTGATTCACAATGGCGTTATGGACAAAAAATTTCATTTACACATGAATATGAAAAACGTTTTCCATGGGGAACAATATCAATTGGAATTATATCTCAACGAGATGGACTTATTCATACATGTGAAATTTATTCCGATTCATTATATGTAAATATGATTAATCGTTTAAAAGAAAATCTTATTGGAAAAATTTATACTGGTGAAAGTATTCGACAAATTTGTCAACAAACACGAAAACAAGTTGAAACTGAACAAGAAAAAACAATGATTGATGATATACAATCATGGATTTTAACACAAATTTAATAAATAGAAAGTTTTTTTTTCCATATTGTTATAATTTTGATACTTTCCTAGTCTTGTTTTGATAAATAAATCAAAGAGTTTTGACTAGGATTATTTTTGATTAAAAAAAAGACAAACAATTATGCACATTTAAAGAAGGCAAAACTACCTTTTAACATGTAAAAAAACTCATTCTCTTTGCGGGTTTTCGCAAAATTAGATTTTCAAACAAAAAAAAATGAAAGTTTCCCTCCTCTTCTTCTAGACGGTTCGACCAATTGGATTCAAACTTTTTTTAATAAGTACTTTGATCAAATTGGGATGCGTATTTTTTTCTCATGAAAACTTTGTACCTATGAAGTTTGACAGATTTTACAAAATTTCATGGTTTTTTGATATTACTTCCAATGTTTTGCTTCTCCTAAGCTTCAGGAACAATATTTTCAAAGAAAAACAAACACGCACCCAGATTTGTTCCTAGTTACCACAGAAAAAATTTTAGTCCGAAAAAACATAGTGCGGATGTTTATGGGAAGAGGAAAAGTTCAAGTCATTTTTGGCTCTTGATCTCTCAAGAACTTCCGGAAGAAAGAATTTGAGAATTTTGAGTCTATAACAACTTTTACTCTACTCATCGAAGATCTATCTACTCTGAAAGTTTCAAAAATTTTCGCCGAATCGTTCTCGAGAAATCTCGGAAAGGGACGGTCCTCTGAAGGCGTCGATCCTCAAGAGCCGATTATGAGCCAGTACATTCAAATTGTCTGAGATTTTCGGGATATGTTGGGAGCTTAGTGAAAAGGTTATGAGTAAATGTTCAACTCTTTATCCAGACGTTTCAGAAAGATATTCATCAAACAAAGATCAGAGATAGCCCTCTTGACATTCTCGTTTGAACAAGCAAGTTACAATGCAAGATTTGGCAGAGCCCTTCTTATTTAACTTCTTATTTTTTATGCAGTGAACTTCTTTCTGAGGTAGAGATATAATTATTTGAAGTTTATCCATTGCATCAAAATTTGTAACAGGAGTCAGTAAAGTCAAATCACACCAATAAAGCTTCTTACATATGTGTAGAACTATTCAATGCTATTTTCCGAGTTTTCGATAATAGAAAATTATTCAAAAAGATTATCAAACAATCGAATCGTCTTGTTTTAAAATCATATTGAAATGAATCTGAATATCTTATTAACATTATATCACAACTGCCATTTTATTTTATATTATATTATAACACTGAAATAGTGTTTTTCTTGTTTAACGACTTCGTTATGTTCAAAATTTAGCTTGATAACGTTGCATGATGAATAAGAAAGATGAATTCAAAACAGATGACGATATTAGTATATTATTCTGTAATATATCAATTAAATACAGTGTTTCGTGATGATTGATTTAATTCGAATCATAATCAAACGTAATGAATGTTTATATTAAACGAAAAAAGCTAAATATCACACAAATGCATAAGAATCTATAATAATTAGTCGCAATGATGTGAAAGTTATAGTTATCAAAAAAACTGTATTAGTATTAGTGGAAAAGAATTTAGATAGAAATCAAGACAATAACAAGGAATCTATTTGAGAATAAAGAACAGTAAATGTGAGGATAAATACGAATTTTCATCAAACCTTTCTAATTGTATACGAAACTTTAAATGAGTGCAAGTAGTAATAGCTTCAGAAAGTTACCATAATCCATATAATTATTTTTTTATTTCGAAGCTTTTGCTTGCTGTTGATTTTATTATTTTATAACGAATATAAGTTTCGTTTTTTTGTAAAGCATCGATAAATTGATTCTATCAAAAGTGATTGAAAAAAATGACCATGTGTCTTATATTTGGGCGTCGATAATAGTTAGAAAGTGCGAGACATGCTCTCCTTAATTAGTATTCATTTGTCTTTGTTCTAGATTTTCTGGCTACCTTAATTGGATGATTTTTAAATAGATGAAACAACACTTCGTCTGTCTGTATTGCCATTATTACTGTTGCAGTTGTCTATTGCTGTTTGCTTCTGTCGTTTTGTTTGATTTGTCTTTTTGTCTAATCAATTTAGAAAATGAAAGAAAATGTTCTCTTTAATATTAAGATCGATAGTGATTTATTCAAAAACAAAAAACAATGTCTACTTCGGAGCAAGTTCAGCAAATAATTTACCCATATCGATACGTGTATGAGCACGTTTAAAGGCTTCCAAGGGTCCTTGTGGATCGTCTGGAGCACTATAAGCGATGTATACAGCGTTTTCGACATAGTCAAGAACTACGTTCATCGTATTACCCGTTTCTGATAGACTGGTAACATTGTAGATGATGGTCGCCGGATCGAGATGACCATAATTGGCAACTAATAAGCTTCCTAGGCAAGGATCGCCGGACGGTTGCACATGTTTATCCCAATAGACAATGTCTTGAAGAACAGGATGCGCTTTTGTATTGAACATATCCTCCCAGTTGTAAACATTCAATTCTCGCGCACTGTATTCAATGCCTCGGAATCCGATATTTGCATCCGTTATGATCGATGTATTACGTTCGTAGGAGCCGAGACCGAGATGAATCGAACAGGTTCGATGAGCATTAGTCATCATGGTCAGTGCTGTATCGATGGAATTGGCAAATTGGACAACGTCACGAAGAACATAAGTCCATGGATTACCATAACGTGTAGTGATATCCTGCTCCTTCGTTATCCATACTTTCTCACCTAGACCAATCGAAGCCTCACTGTAAGCACCGAGCGAACCGATCAGACCGGCATAACCGAAATTAGCGAAGGCATGCGAATGATAGTTGCGTTGTTTGTAATATTCATGAAAATGATCACTATAGCCTTGATAAGAAGCATTAGGATGATACACAGTTATTGTGGCATATTTAGCAATTGGGGCTTTGTCATCCCAGTCCAATGCTCGGACATGAAGTAAAGTCGATCCCACAGCCGAATTACCCCAAGCTCCTAAGACTGTGCATGCCGCTTTGATCATTTCTGGAAGCATATTTAATTGACGGATCTTCTTCATATTGACTCCGCTACCATCAGCAACACCGCGAATTTCTTCGTCGAACCACGGTGGAGTGTAACGATGAGTGATATCGTAGGTCAGATCGAGAGCGCCCCCTAATCCAAAATCAGCAATCCATTTTGCAATAAACTACACAGACAAAGATGAAACTTAATGGCAACAGAAAAAAATGCTAGACTTACAGGTGGAACTATTTTCAATATTTGTTCAACCTCTTGATATAAATAGTCGAAATATTCCGGAATTAATTGATTCAATTCTTTGCTCATTAATTTACCCAATGCAAAGCCCATATCATACGGTGTTCCACCGTAGACGTGTACAATATTGATTTGATCATAACCTGATCCGACAGTGAATCGTTTTCCATTCGAAACTGTGCTGACAAGACGAGGTTCTTCGCGTATGATTGGATTCGTATTCACTTTTCCCGAGCAAATGGGATCTGCTAGATAGGCCGAATTAAGACAAACTACGAGACAAAGTAGTAAGAGAACGGTACTACACATTGTTAGAGATATTATTGATTACTGATCTTAGTGTGCGAGTATGAAAAGCGAAGAATAACAGAAGGCATGCTCCCATGATTGTTAGCTTGTGAAAAAGTCAACATATGGCATACATAGAATTATCTTCGATCGATGACAATATTGTCCATGAAAAGAAAAACGATTGCATACGAATCACCCACCTGGATGCTCTGTCATGCGTCGTAGTGATCAGTGTTGCAACTGGTAACAATAAACGGCCGATCCGATAGAGGATTCCTTTCCGACTGATCTAGATTTTTTTCAAAGTTTTGTATGTGTTTTTTTGAAAAAACTACTCATAGAGGCACTTTTTTGCATATTAAATCGATTTTACTGATATCAACGGCTATTACTATGAAGAAAAATGAATTAGAACATTTCTAGCAAGTGAATTTTCATCAAAATACGCCTAATTTATTTTATCAAATCATTCCAATATCAAGTTATATTATCGAAACAAAATAGAATCACTGTTCGTCATTGTAATTTGTTACATATCTATTTTCATTTTCTATTATTTATATCATATCTTTTACAGAGACCTCAAATAGATATCAAAGTAAATCTATTAAGAGATGCAGAGTACATCTATAGTTGATTCAGAATTTCTATGTCTGATGAACATTTGATTAGCATACAAAGCTAATATAGAATTTGTAGTCCTATGAAATTTTATGTCCATCGATAGATATCAAAAGAGAAACAAATACTTAAGCAAAAAGCTTTCAGTACAATTCCTATAAAATTAAAACATTAAACACGATGGAAATACTTTAGCTATTTTGAAAATCTAAGAAACTACAAAGGATAGCTTTGGCTTAACCTCCAAGTACGCCGAAATAGGAAACATTCATTTTGCCCCCCTTGTGGAAATCTCATCATCTAAATAATAGACCATGATGAGATCAAAAACCAGCATGTTAGAAAACCCACTAAATCTTTACATGCATACGGAAATCTCTGTTAGTAGGTTAAAAGAACATCAGCATGTTTGTCAAGATATTTAAAGCAAGTTAAGGAGATGAAGTCAATTTTGTTGCCATACACTTCAACATTCGTTAAGTATGACTAATCGAGAGGCTGATTTGACTCATACAAGATGAGATATGTGAACAATGACTTATGCCGGTCCGATCTGACTGGTTTAGATCGGTATCGGTAAGAAATAACCTTACCAGTTGTAACACTGATGTAGCCGGCATCTCATACTATCTATATCACTACTTCAATCAGATCGATGTCCTTTAATAATGTGAAACGAAATTTGAAAATACAAAAATTGAACTCAAATAAATTTGCTTAAATTTTTGTCGCTGACTATACATTAGATATAAAAAAGGTTACCAAGAAAATCTGTAATCAACTTGTGATTTTTATGACGATTTATAAGAATTCAGAATTGATTAAATTATTTCATTTAATTGATTTTTGCATTCTAGTTCTTTATTATCAAATATTCTGCAATTTAAGATTAAGAATATTTTTAGTCAATTTCCAGAGTAGATGATGATATCACCGATTTAATTTTCAACATGACTAGATAGCCTACGAAAAACTATAACATACGAGTCTCATCGACATCGGCTTTACCGATTAACAAAATCAAACTATCAATGAATTATACTAATGAAATGACAGAATAATTGATAATGTATTAAAATTATCAAGCATACAATAGATAATATCGATGGATAAAGGGAAGAGTAATAGCAATACTCTATCAAACAGAGACGGTCATTCTTGGTTAAGTTTTGTATTCATTAATGCACTATGTTCTCCTTTAAATATATTTTCATATACCGTGCTTATGCGAAATTTTGCTGATGAAAATGATTGTGAAAAAAGATATTTTGTTTAAAATAAAATCTTAATGGAAAAATCATTTGTTTTTTTTTATCTTTACAAAGAAATTCGATGAAACTCATAATAAATAAATAAATCAATCATTTTAAAAAGAGGAAAAATGGTTTCGCATAACAATTAGTATTGGTTATGAAGGTTTACAACCGTAATTGAGCAAGGTTAAACTTTCGATTATTGTATATAATATATTTTTCTATCGTTTTTTTTCTGATAAACATCGAATGGAAAATAGTAATAAGTAACTAATTGATGAATATACTAATGTTTTCGTAGCACAATTCTAGAAGCATAAGAAAAGAAAACATTTCAGACATTTTCATACAAAAAAACTTTCGACTTTTTAATTTGATTAGAAATGAAAAGAGTTAATGAGTTGTAGTTCTTTCGAAAGCCAACACAACAATTTTTCGTATATTAATAAGTCAAAACAAAATATGAGCCTTTAAAAAATATCAATGTGATTGTTTATTAATAATCCCATCTTTATGTTTCAACATTAACAAGCTAAAAGTATTAGTTCAGCTAAGCATAAATCTTTATTTTAAGAAACGGAAAAATCATTCTAAAATTTTATAATAATGTTCTCATTTCAAATATGGTGTATATTGTGGTCGATATTTAATTTCTGTTGGACATACATTGTAAGGTGTGCGTAAAATATAAAGAACACCTTGAGCAATATCTTCTGGTTGAATGCATTTATCAAAATTTAATTTATGTTTATCATCATGAATCATTGGTGTATTCACAAAGCCCGGCATAATAGAACAAACTTTAATACCATATTCACGAATATCTGCAGAAAACGAAAAAAATAAAATAAAATAAATATCAAATAGTTTTATTAGACCTTCATAAATCGAACCAAGAAATCCATTAACTCCCCATTGACTAGCATGATATTGAGCTGATCTGCCAGAGGTCATCTGAAAAAAAACCAAGAGAAATTCACATGAAAACTATAAATTATATATCAATCAATCTGCTTGTTTATCGAAGAAGACAAGTCAATGACTGATTTTTTTTTTGCATCTTTTTTTTCTTACCGTTGCTGATAGAGATGATATAGTGATTATTGCACCATGTTTAGATTCTTTCATCATTGGTAAACATCTTCCTGTTATTCGCATTAAACCTAATAAATTCACCATCATTACTTCTTCCCACATATCTACTACATCTTTTCCTGATGGTGTTTTTTCTTCTATTGCAGAAACACTCTCACCAGCGATACCAGCATTATTAATAAGTATATCTAATTTATTTTGAAATATGTGACTAATTTGTTTACATGCATCTTCAATTGATTGTTTTGATGACATGTCACAGATAATAACATGAGCTTTGATACCATTTTTTGAACATTCTATAGCTAATGTTTCAAGAGCATCACGAGAACGAGCTAATAAAGCAACATTACAACTAAAAGAATTAAAATAAGACAAAAAAAGAAAATAATTCAAAATCTAAATAATTTACCCTTCTTTTGCTAATGTTAGTGCTATCTCTTTACCAATACCACGACTAGCACCAGTAATAACTGCATTTTTACCATGTAAATCAATCACACCTCGATATTCTCCAGTCATGATGGTCAATACTTGTTAAAAAAAAAACCAATAAACAATGCTCATTGGATTATATGGTTTATATTGATGTGATTTTATTGGTCTCGACGAGTGTCATTTAATCAACAGCTCAAGCATCATAGTCAATGTGATGTGTGTAAAGTATCTCTATTGTAGTTCGTTGTGAGTCTTTCTTTCATTCTTTCTTTTGGTATGCTATTAGATCCTGAATGATTAACACTTTGTTCTACAGTCTGCTGCAGTTATGCACTTGAGAATCATGGTGTCCATATAATAAGTCCAATACAATAATTTAGATATCAAGAAATTCTAAATTTAGTTGACAATCGAATAAAATATTGTCCGTTAGAGGCAGATTTCTACAAACATGTGTTTTAGCTAGAAAGTGTTTTGCTTGTGTTGCCGTCTGTAATTTTTCAATGAAGAAGTACTTATAAAAAGATAAAAATTCGTCGATGTACTAATTAATATATGACAATTATGTTGTTTTCTTGGTTCTCGATTACATCATGTAAAAATATTCTGGATTTATTCATTGCATTAATATTTTGTATAGATGTCGTTGGTGGTAAGGAAGTACATCTGCTGACAATATATTCGCTGAAATGCGAGATGAAAATATTGAGAATAAATCAAAATCATTCGTTTCTTGATTTTCAGTAGTAACTTTTGTTTTTTGGTATGAAACTCGATAAACAGAAAAATTTTGGTAGACTTCATTTTTTCTTTTCAAGGTTTAAGATAATTAACAAAAAGAAAGGAGTTTAAGACTCAGCTGTAAGAACGGCTGATTCTAGATCATGAATACGAGAAATAATTGAATGGTCGCAATACAGTGGATATTCATGGAAAGAAATTGTTGACAGGTATTTAAAGAGATCTCGTAGCAATAATCTTATTGATGCCTCTTCTCTAGAACATCTTTTGTTGGTTGATCTATGAGTTGAAAGAAAATGTTTCGAAATATAAGAAGAAAAAGAAAAACGTACCTTACAAGAGCAGTGATCGATAGGAATTGAAAGTAATGAGTGATTCGTACCGTAATTCTCACTGTCGAATTTGTTCAGGTATCATCTGTTAATAATCTTGAAAGACGAAAGAAAACAAAGTCTACAAAGTTTGCTTTTTTTGTGTCGGCTCTCTATAAACAAACTAAGGATATTTCTGAAGACCGAACAAGTAATGATGTCAATTCTATCGCGATATTTTTTTCATTTTGAGTTCGAATGAATATTTTCTAACTTTTCGCTTTTAAGTTTATCGTGATGAGCTACTACAAAGATACTTTGCATCTTAATAACGATCATTATGATATCAGTTAATATATCTTATTCTAAAAGAAAATAGTTTATTAAGAGGAGAAAATGAAAAATTCTCAAAACTTTGATGGCAACTTGTATATATAACTTTATGCATGTAGATTATTCAGTGTTAGTCCAAGATTCATTCTTGCAGATCCTGTATAAACAACTGATAGATTATAATAACGAAGGAAAATGACAAACAAAGATGGCAAACTCAGTTAACATTTTATAGACTTTGAGTTTACTCTTTCTTGGAAATTAATAAAAGAATATGCCATACCTGAATATGGAACCTGAGTTGTAGCAGCAATGGAACGTCATATTGATTTTAAGACTTTTTTTTTGTCCAAAGAACATAGCTCGGTATGATTTCGAACGAAACGAAAACATAATTGGAGAGCTCAGTAAGATCGATTTTTTTTTCATTTTTATTTTAACGCTCAATAACGATGAAAAATTATAGTAAGCTCTTAATTTATAGTGATAGATTTATTGACTACATTGTGACATCATTCAAAGATGTTCAATTTTTGAAATAACGAGAGAAAATCGAAAATCTACGATATCATTTTTTCTAACGTTTGATGTTTTCGAAAAATCTAAAGAAAAAAAAACAAAATAGTTCCTAAGAGGTAACAAACTAATTTCTATGCTAGAAATCATTATAACGACTTAAGCATACAAATCGTGATTTGAAGTAGTTAAAAATTATCGGAAACCATCAGAACCCATTAGAAATCACACTAAATCATAGAAAATCTCTAGTAATAAGCTTATAAATAAAGTCTCGATTTCTATTGATTTTCCTTCATTCTTAAGCATTTCTGGTATTTCCTCAAACCCCAATGAAGGTACCGAGTTCAGTATACCCGTAAGGGTATTTTACTATTAGTAAGTCACAAGAGTCTCTGACTGTTTAATGAGTTTTTAGCACTTGATTACAAAATGCTTCTAAATGTTCAATCTACTGACTTGTTGAAAAATTTTTTGTAGAATGCTATAGAAACTAGGCAGGTACCTAGTAAATACCGATATACTCAGACAATTCTTATCAGGGTACTTGACTATAATCCTGTGACATACTGCTAACAGGGTACTCTACAATCAACTGACTTAGTACACGGATACTTTGAACTCTGTGCATTCACTAGAGAACAAATCAGTTTATTCTCCTTTGATATTTTCAGATAAAGTTTTTACTATAGTCAATGAAGTTATTGAAGAAATTTTCTTCGATATTTCAACAATTTCATCTAATACATCAGGATAAAACACCATTCATATGATATTCATTTCATCTATATGCAATTATATTTCAATCATTATATTATTTGATTCATATTGAATGTCGACCTAATCAATGTGAGTATAGATTATATAGAAAAAAAAAACAAAAACACAAAAAAAAACCTAGTGATTCTATCATTAAATGTCTACTTGTGCTTTTTTTAATTGAAACAATGACATTAAAAATATATTGATTTTTTCTGAAATTTAAATAAAAAAGACATAAAAATAAATAGAATTATTAAATAACATACGTCTTTCTTACTTATTATGTTCCATTCTATTTTACGATAGACAAATGGATAATAGAATACTAAACCACATAGAATCATAATTGTTGCAAAAAGATATCCAATATTTGGTGATGTAATTACAGGTGCAAGAACCAAATAAATCGAAATAAGAACAATAATAATAATCAATGGAATAGGAACCTAAATATACAAAAAAAAATATATATTTATTCATTTCATCTTTCCTTGTCATAAAACAATCATAGACACAGACACTTATCACTCGTTCTGCATTTTTCTTTGTAAATTTACAGCAAAGTGTAGCAACAAATGTTAATCCATAAAAAATCCATGCAGCAAAACTAAAAAAATCGATCAAACCATCAATATTACTTGGAAGACAAAACAAAATTGTAATGACACCCTTCAAGAACAAAAAGAAAAAAAAGATAAACAATAAAATTATCATTAGTAGTTGAAATGTGAGAAAAAACAACAAGACAACCTGAAGAACAACAGCAGGTATTGGAGTCAATCTTCGTATATGAATACATGCAAATACTTCTGGTAAATATCCATATTGAGCACTAACCATACAAAATCGAGCAGCTCCAAAGAGACTTCCATTAGCACTACCTAATGCACTAACAGAAATCAAAATAGGTAGAAAACGTAACACTGGACCCAATACAGCTTCACCCCATGTCTATCCAATAAGAAATTAATTAATTATAAGATAAGACTTTTTGTGTTTTTATTCTTCTACATACTACAGCAACAGCATTAGAAGTAAGTAATGTTGCTTTATTCATAACAGTAAAATAAGAAATATTAGTAAGAACATAAAGTATTATAACAGCAGGTAAAGCCAATACAATAGATAACCATAAATCTCTATAAAAATGCAAAAATATATTATTAATATAAAGTTTCTTAAATAAATAAAACGAGACTCAACTTAACCAAAATAAATATGTTCAATTATCTAGAAAAGATTATATCTATACAAAATCATACCTTTTAGGATTTTTTAATTCTTCTGTCACTAAGTTAAGACTATTCCATCCATCATATGCCCAAAGACCAGAATAGAATGCAAGTGCAACACCCAATGGATTTTTTGTTGTACCTATACTATACCATAAGATAATATATTATTTGCTTGATTATCATAATCAACTACATCCTACCATCAAAACCATTTTGCAAATTTTGTGTATATCCTATAAAGAACTTTTTTAATGAGATTTAGTTTAATTTTTCAAATAATACAAGAATAAACCTTTTCCCAATCGTATAACACCAATTATTATTACTGTTAAAATAGTTAATACTTTGCAGATAACAAATATAATATTAAGACGATTAGCTATAGACACACTTATAGAATTTATATTGATCAACATTACTATAAAACAAACAAGAAATTTTAAAATTACTAAAAGAAAAAAAAAATTGAATATACAAATAGCAAAAATAGCTGTCATTTTGATTAATTCTTCTGATAGTTCGCATTCTAAATGTATATGTAAATATATAAGATGAACAATTGTGTATAGAAACCAATTTACCTTCTATGATGCCAGACCAGAAGTATTGAGAAAATGTAAGAATAAGAATTGCAATACCTGATGGTTTCAAAATAAATGTATATGCCCAACTGGAAACATACGCCAATATATCACCTATTTGTTTATGAACCGATCCAATACCTATGAATGTATATATATATTCATATTAAATAATTCGTAAAAAAGAACATGACATATGCCAATACGAAAAAATAATTTCTTTTTTTTAATGAACTTTAAAGAAAAAAAGAAAAGCATGTATATGAAATTGACAATGTTACAATAATCTTAATGTTTTTCTATCTAAAGAGTGGTTCAAGAATTTCCACTCTTCTATGTAAATTGATGTTATCTATATAATAATTTTCGTATAAAGTTTTAGAACATATGAGATTTGATACAAGTTTCACACGATCATAAAAGATATTACTTCCAATGAAAAGATTTTCATTCCAGTCTCATCTTACTCATATCTAATGTAAGATATAAAATGCTTAGTCATGATTAATAAATCGATCATAACTTTTCATCACGTCAATGCAATTTGAATTATTTTCTTTTCAAATATTACTTTTAATCTTTCTCTACACAACTCTATATTTCAATCAACTATCTACATACGTATTCATATAGATAACTTCAATTTATCGAGAGAGAAATTGAAATTTTAAAATTATACTTTAGTATACCTTCTTTTATATAAGCAACTTCTGCACCATTTCTTGGTATTACTGCACCAATTTCTGCATAACAAAGTGCTCCTGAAACAAGAAAAAAAAAGTCAAACTATCTCTTCAACATACAAAATATGGTAAAATATACCAAGTAAAGCAACTAATCCACATGCAATCCAAATAATCAAACAAAGACCGACTGATTGTGTTTCTTGTAAAACACCCTTAGGAGAAACAAATATACCAGAACCTAATAATACCAAAAAAACAAAATTTCTAATAAAGCAAACAACATAATACGTAATGATTTACCAATGATGACACCAACAATAAAACAGATTCCTGAGAATAAACCAAGATGTCTTTTTAGTGTTACTTCATCTGTTGGTAATGGAATTTTCAATGAATCTGGGTGAACAATTGATGAAATGGATATACGCCGATGTTTAGTTAATGAAGATTGAACAGGACGATGATGATGAATTGAATCAATATCAGCTAGAGAAGAAGATAATAATAGAATCTATGAAAAATTTCTTCTCATTGTATTTGAAACAAATGATTTGAAAAGAAAACTTATATATAGGAATATTTCTTTTTTCATGAAGATGTCAATAGTCATCATAAATTATTTATGATTCAAGATATATATGTTAGTATATCAAAATAGACAATAATAACAAAATTGACATCAGATATATTTGTGCTTTGTTTTTAAATCTATTAAAGACTTACTCAAGCTTGGCTCGCGTTGAATATCTATGGCCATGTTTATTTTATAATCTTTTTTGTGTTTGTATAGATAGTTCGCATTATGAAATGGCCTTTATTCAACATCTATTATGATAGACAAAGATCACAAGACCTTTTCTTTTATGCTTTGATTATATTTTAGATAGATAAGAAGGGAAGGGAAAAAAAGAAATGAAGCAGTATCAAAGATGAATTATAACCTATTAATGAATAAAAACTTAATGTATTTATTTTGTTTTATTTAATAAAATCTTAAATCGATTCAATATATTGAAATGATAAAGCAGCTTTTGTGAATTTAAATATTGCTTTTTCTTTTAGTATTTAAATTAATGAATAAATCGATTATAATTTGAAGGGAAATTAATATTATTATAATTAACTAAGATAGAGTTAAATAAAATGCTACATATTTTTCTCATTCATTTTAATCTCTGAAATTTTAAACCATCGATTTGACTGACACTCGGTATGTCAGTTTCCATGGTTTCGTACCTAGAAATCCATTGGCAGTCTACCACAAAAAAGACGCACAAGAATATTTAGATAGTTCAAAGCGTTCGAAAATTCATTTAAAACATTGTAAAATGTATTCGTGTTCCTTGAAGAACAGAACTCATAGAACACAAACACTGACATCCTTAATTATTTCGATCTTATCTGTATCAAGTTGAACAAAAAAATGAATTACGATAAAGTTTCAATGACAGATTATCTTGTGCAGCAATACTATCACGATCTGTTAACATTAAGTTAGGATCATTCTTTGTCTGTGATATATTATCACTTAAATTTTCTATCAAATAATTGATAATATCTGGTTTATTCAATAAATTTTTAATGCTCCGCTCAATCGAAATATAATAACTACAATCATGTGGATCATTCAATTTAATTTTTAATAGTGCTACAACTTCAAAATACTCGTCATAACGTTCCGACGATTGGTAATCATTTTTTTTTTGACAATATCAGATATTGAAGTTTTTATTTGTGATATCAATTTCCCGTTATTTTCTAATGGGATTAGTAGATCTGTTGATGATTATGTTACTTGATGTTAAATGATTTTAAATAATGCACCGCGCATTGAAATCAAGTAAAAACTGAGTATAATTTTTTTCAAACGAATTAATTGCAAATTCCTCTATATAATTTCCATTTGATCTGGCCTCTTCAAATATCTCCAATTCATTTTCATCATGGATAATATTTCCATTCGAAAATAATAATGAAAGTATGCTAGATAAAACTTTTCTAAACATTTGGAACGATTTTTTTTAATCTGGCATCGTTCGTTAAGTTTTCTAGAACTCTTGATAATTTAATAATAAACGTGATATGTTCTATATCTTTCTTTTGTGTAAAAAATATCTTTGTTACGAAATATCTTCTGTAGAAATACCAAAGGAGAATTTCAATGACTTCATATATCAATTCACTATCATCCTTGATGACTTCAAGTAAATGATTCCGAGTAAGATAGAAGTGATGAAATTGTTTCATTGTATAGTCTATTTTGATAATTTTCATCCAATAAGAAAAAAAAAAATTATATATCGAATCACACAAAACTTCATACAGCAGTGTTGCAACTGGTGGGCTTTTTCCTTACTCGTACTAGTCTAAATCTGTCAGTAGGGATGTCAGCGTTCGAATTCATTTAAGGACAGAACTCCAAAGAAACACAAACGAAAGTAATCGTGTTTAACGCGTGGAGTTGAATTTCAATGGATTAAAATTATAATGAAATTATTTTATGTACCAAGGATTTTAGTTTTCAATATGATTATAAATTGATTGTTCTTACAGTTTTCATCTAGCGTTTTTTGAGTAGATAGATGTCTCATGTAAAAAAAAAATGACGAAAGTCAGCAGAAAAATTTATTATCATACTTCCATCTAACTCTGCTTTTCTATTTGTTCAAGGACAATGTTCAAGAACAGAGAAAAAAACCAATAATTTTGACGACGTTCTCACGTTACGTTATCAGATAAATATTTTTTCGTTCTTATTTGGAGATATATAGTTTTATTCTCTTTATTACGACGAACGGAAAAGAGAAAAAAAGCACTTGATAAATTGACTCAATAATGACACTGACATTGCACAATCAAATATGTTAGAAAATACATGGTGAATATGGCGTTATGAATATTAACACACACAAAAAGAAAAAAAATAAAACACCATCAGACAAAATGTTATCATCTACATTTGAAACATTACCTGATGAAATTTTAATGGTAATTATACAATATTGCGGTAATATTTATAGTATATTTCGAGCTTTTTCTGGTTTAAATCAACGTATAAATAATATTCTTATTGATAGACGTTTACATTTACTCACCGATTTTTTATTTTTTGAGATTGATAATCTAACTATTGAATATTATTATAATTCGAAATTGTTTCATGATATATCTCAACAATTATTATCTTTGAAAACAATAGAAAATGATGAACAATTTCGACAATGTCTTCAATCATTAGTTATTTTTCATATAACATATAAATATAAACAATCTATTGAAATGTTAGAATTAAATATAAAACATTTTCAATCTATACGTATGCATCTTACTAATAATGCAATTAATAGTTTGGATAATGAATTACAGAAAATATTTACAGATTTACAACACTGTTCAAAACCTATGACAAAAATGAAACTAATTAAATCTTTAGTTTTAACCAAAGGTGCTAAACTTGAATGTCCTGATAGTGAATATATGAAATTTAATTTTGTTCAAGCGATAAATCATTTATTACTAGCGAACATTACCAATGTTCAACCTGTCTCTCAACGATATATTAATTCTCTCATTCAAATGTTTAAAGTACTCATAATTTCGAATCCAACACTTTTATATAATCGAGTTAATGTTGGTAATAGTGATAATATAGTCTATTATTTTTTATTTTATTCAATCTATAGATTAAAATATTTTAGTTATCAAACATCATCTAATTTTCTTAATATTCAATATTATAGAGCTGCTGTAGATTTACTTCTTTTTACTTTACAATGTTTGAAATATGTATCAATCGAAAAATTTTGGAAAAATCAAAGTTTTTTGGATATATTACAAATGATTTCACCTATACAACTTAATATTGATCATAAAATTTTTGTTTATACAAGTCAAATTGAAATATTAAAAATTCTATTTGATGAAAATATTTTCAATGAGACAATATATCGAGATATAGAATTTTATAAAACATTTCAACAACCTCTAAAAAATTTAATTATAAGCAATCGAATTGATATAATCTTATTCGTTTTTAATTATAATGAACAAATAAAGAATTTTTTTCAAAAATCATGGAATAGTCAAATAATTGTTGATATTATTATGGAAAATCAAAAGAGAAAACAATTATTTCATGCACTTCTAGATCATAAATCATTGGGATTATGGTTAGCAACAAGTACAGATCTATTGTTTGTTCTATTACAAAGAAAACAATATACATTTTTGCAGAAATTATTCCATCAATCACCATTACTTATTCATCGATTAGATGAAGATGGTAATGATCCATTACTTTATATTTGTCTCAAAGCACATGGATGTCGACATAGATTAGTTGAATATTTAATCAAAATAGGATGTGATTTAGAAAGACGAAATTTACAAAATGAAAATTTTAGCGATGCATTACAATTGACAACAAATAAAAATTTATTGGAGAAACTAATTGAACATGAAATAATTCAGATCGATCAGAAATCTAAAGAGATAAAAATTCCTTTAGTTAAACAATCACAATGAAAACAATAATGTTTACTTAGCCATATCGTAGACGAGAAAATCAAAATAAATTATGTAATCAAATATAATTAGAATAAAATTCAACAAAGTTTAAACTTGTCTATATCTTCTTTTTTTGTTCATTTGACGATCTTAATATTTTGTTTGATTTTTGTTAAAAATTAACTTTCAAATTAATGTTAAAGTATAATTTTTAACTTTCATAATTATGAAGAGAGAAAAACTTAATACAAACTACTATTTATTGTTATCTTTGAGGTTGACATCATCATTCTCATTATATTCCAGGACTAATGTCATCAAATATTGTATTCCTAATCAAATTACCATATTTATAAGCTTATTCTACAGTTCGATATTTTTTTACCTATATTCTAAATGAGAATATTTCGTTTATACGTTTGTTAAATGTACCGTATAAAATGTCATACCTGGTTGTATATCATTTAAGCATTTTTTTTTCAATGTATATAATGAGCTGTATATTAATAGAAATCATCAAATATTTTCTTCTTTTTTTTCCTAGAAACTTTCGTTTTTGTAGACGTGTAGAATAAAAATAAAAGTATCTTATTTCTTATTTTTCTTATTCATACATTTTTTTTGTTGTTATTAATTTTGTCACATTGACAAATTAAATATATTCTTCGTAATATAGCAAATAGTGAGACAAAAATCAATCATGAAATCCTATTACATGTAAATGATGAATCATAGTCGAATGATATAAATATTTGTTTTTCTATGTCTTTTCATGAATCATTGCATATCAACTAAATCTCATATATGTTTTCATTCTCTACCTTATGTACAAAAATAAATATGAAGTGCTAAACGTTTTCAATTACATCTTCACACTATTGTTCTTTTCACCTCATATCTATATCATTGATAGATGACTTGTTATTTGATCTTTTCTAAAAGTTGTAGCTATCAATAGCGACATTTTAGAGATATTGTATAATAAGGCATGTATCAATAGTATAAATATGAGTCAAGTCAACAATAATGTGAAATGTTCATTAGTAAAAATTTTACTGTATGTTATTGTTGTTTTTCTTTATCAAATATAGATTTAACAGTTTTGTTCAACATCACAATTCATATTTAAATAAAATCTTCAATTATCATAAATAATTACAAAGAAACATACAAATCTAGAGTATTTCGAGCCGGGTAGAGAACTCTTAGTAATTAGTTTTTCTGCTCTCAACATATTCCATTTCCCGTTAAAATCAAGTTAGCAATGACTGCAGATTATCTTGTAAAGCTTTATTTTGCAATGTTTCTCGATTAATTTTTCAAGCTCATACTATATTTCCTATTGACTTGATTGAAATAGAAAAACAAAACTTGGATATTTCAGAGTAGGAAAGTTGCTTGATCCTGCTTGACAATGTTTATTTTAGTTTTGAACTTAGTTAGCAATCATAATTAATCATAAAATGGAATTGTCTCCATGATATCTTAATAGAATTATTCCATTCTTTTGTCGAGAAAAAAAGAAATTCCAACATTTCTATACTAGTTCACGAATGAATAGTATATAAGAAATGATTTTGTTTTTTTGTTCGAATCGAGAAATTTATTTTTGTAATTCTACTAGTCATGAAAACGACACATTAATGAAACCAAAATTAAATTGTCATTTTCTTTCATCTTTCTTATGTCTCTGACTTGTTTATCATAATTTGCCAGATAAAAAATATTACTTTAGGTATTTGTTTCTCACTTTCTTTCTATAACTCTAATAACATATTATAATTAAAATCTACTGTCATCACAGATGCATATCAGCACATTGTTATAATTCAAGAATTGAAAAAATTTTTACTGCATCTTTCTCGACTATAAAATAAGTAGTTCTATCAAGATTTACATTTATTTCAAATATTTAAATAGATAATTATTGGAAGAAAATATATATTTCCAAATTTAATGTAATATATGATAATTTTTATGTGTTGATAAATAATCGATGAATTTTAAATATCTACTGACTAACTCAGATGTTTTTATGATATAAAGAATTTTTCAAAAATTTAATCAAGATCAATAAATCAATTTTTATTACATACCAGTATTCGCCCGGTAAAATTAAATAACAACTATATAGAGGGTGTACAGTGAGTCATGAAACAGACACACTAAAAATTGAATATCTTCATTATGACTCGACCAAACAGGCTCATTTTCTTACCAAAGATAGAGGTATGTTCACACTCCAAATCCGTATGGGCGAGATTAGTGAGAACCTATCTGTGAACAAGTAAAATTTTCTTGTTGGGGGTCCATAGTCGTATTTAACAAAAGGTTCTCACTGACCTTGTCTGTATGAATTTGGAGTATGAACATTGCCTCTATCCTTGGTAAAAAAATGAGCCCGTTTGGTCAAACTATAATGGAAATATTCAATTTTTAGTGTGTCTGTTTCATGACTTACTGGACATTCTATACGCTAGATTTTATGATATTCATCTGATGTTAACAACTCTCACCATACATATATTGTATAAATACTTCTATAATCAGAAGATTAGAACGTCTTACTCATTCTATTAAAAAAAGGTTAGTAAAAAATATTTTGAACAATTATTTTATTTTTTTGTGAAACACGATCTAAAAGAAACATTGAAGTATATAGTGATAGATCTTGTTGATATAGGATCAAAGATCATACAACAATAACATGTCGTTATTATATATCAACTACTTCCTTATTGCATTTCTTGAAGTTTAAGTACAATCATAATGAAGAAATGTATCCCAAAATCGATAGAATAAAGCAATCTGTCTGTGATTAAGAACAGTAGCTATATCGTGTTTTATATTTTCATTCCACACGAATTGTACGAACAACTTTTTAATATAAAATGCATCTTGAATAGAGTTTCAGGTAGTTTCATGTAAGTGCAATTGAAATATCAATATATCATATATTCGAAATGTTTGGGTCATTTTTTGCCTAAATGAAGAAAAATGCCTTTTACTACTGAATCATATTGCACAATCTTTTGTCATTGCAAGAGAACTGAAGTAGACAAATGATATTAGAAAATGTCAAAAGAGAGACTTTGCTTTGAGTTATTTCTTTTCAATTTCTTATTAAATCAAACAGTTAATTAGATGATTATTTATTTGATTGTCAAAAGCAAACATCGTTCTGTTTATGACGGGACAATTTATTTATATGATTCATAATCAATGAAATAAATTTGAAATTTTTATATTCTATTGTTGGATTTGGGTGCATGCCTACTTTATCCTGTGTTATGTTTTCCCTTTTTTTTTCTTCATTAACATAATAATATTTTCTAGAAATTTTTTTGCTTTGTGTTATTCTTATAAAAACAAGGTAGAACAAAAAAAACTTATTCTAAAAGAAAATATATAGTACGAAATATCTCATAAAATATACCTATATCAATTAAAAAGTTTTTTTTTTTTGATTTAATCTAACTTGTTATGTATCTATTGTTTTATTGATTAAGACGTTACTTGATAAAATCATATTAGTAAAAAATTTAAAATATTTTTTTGAAGAAAAAAAAAAGGGAGATAATAATAAGCATTGTTAAAAGTACTGGCATTTTTAAAAAGATTTTTATTCAGAAGCATCATGAATCTTCAAAATGAAGGTAAAGAGCATTGTGATATTTATGAGTGAATGTAAAAATTTAAAAAGACTTATTCTATTTCTTTCTTCACATTGATAAACTATAGTATAGTATTATAAATCAAGTAGATTTTCTTTATTAAAATGTTTATGCTACACATAGAAAATCATAAAGTAAACAAATAATCAAACATGACTTTGCAATTTTCATGTGAAACTTAAAAAAATCACCTTTTCTAAATTAAACGTTAGACAGTATTTGTTTTTAAACATATTGACGTATATATAGTGATTCAGTCGAAAATAAAATATACTTAAGTGACTTATATATAATCTGCTTTGAATAGCTTAAATATAGCTATTTTACTATCTTGTTCTAATTTCTATGTTTAAAAATGTTTATATTTATATATATATATATATAATTAAAATAGTTCATCCGTCTGTATGATCTATCTATTTAAAACACAACTAATTTAATGCAAGAATGAGACATACTGATCTAGATTTAGATGTTTAGTATTTTATTTTGATCTAAATTTATCTTAAGTATTAGTTGTATATTTTTTGTTTTTCTTTTCAGTTCAAAAATTTTCAATGAAATATATTAAAGCTTTTTTCATTTATTAACTGATCATGCAAAGAAACAATAGGTTGAATGAATTTATTATATATGCATAAAAAAATACTCTTTTTTTTCTTCATTACTTCAATAATAATAAAAAATCTAATAGATGTGTGTGTGTGTTTATGCAGAAATAGATTTTCAATAGTAAGTAAAAATTGCAATGACTATTAGACCATATAAATCTTTATTAAAAACGGAAACTGATTTCCGTTTTTTTTTCGTTACCTTTACTTCAATGCTAACTATTGATGTGTTATCTAATTTCTAGTTGATCATTTTATGATATTGATGAGTGAACTTATTGATATGGCAAACCTTTTGTTTTGGACTATATTTCTTTTCTTTTGAAGAATAAGCTAATATTGTCATCATAAAATCAATGAAAGTTTATTTATAAAACTGGGAGTAGAAGAAAATGAATATATATATATATATGTGTGTGATAACAGATAATGAAATATACGAAAAAAAAAGAAAAATATTTTTAGATATGTATACATATATATTCTTTTCTTTAAGATGAGATTTGTTTTGCTAATTATAGATTCATCATACGCTTGACTCTTTTCGTTGTTGGTTTTTCTTCTTATATTTTTTCATTAGTGGATTGCGTGCATCATTGTGTGTTTCTTAATATCTATCGAGAGTTTACATGCGTAAAAGAAAAGAACAATTTTTCGTCTTGAATTTACGGAAAAAGCAACTCGACACCTATTGACTGAGTGTTGATGGTCGTGAAATGTTTTTCTTTTTCCATTTCCTCGTATTTCCTTTTGTTTTATACGCGTGATTTCTCTGTCATCCTTTCTCTCTCTCTCTTTTGAGGTATTATGTCAATTTTCTTTCACTACTATTATTATTATTATTAGAAAAAATGTTTACGAAATAAGACGATAACAGCTAGACAAGAATGTATGGTCTTCTATTACAATCAGCTATTGAAATTATACGAGCAAAATATGGACAAGAAGTATGGGAACAAATTAAAAGTACGCTTCATCTGGATCTTAATTCAGTTTCGGCATTTCATCAATATGGTGAAACATTATTTGTACGAATCGCAAAGCTTTTGGGTGAACTTCGAAGTATGTAGAAAAATTTTTATTTTAATGTTTTAAATCATAATTTACGTGTGTGTATAGGAGAAAAAGAAAGTACTTATTACGACTCCTAGATAGACAATTGAATGTTTGACGTAATTAGTAAATACATGTATGCATTTGAAAGGTGTATTCTTTTTTGTAATAATTATCATTTAATTTATTGAATTTTTATATTCTAAAAAAACTCAGAGATTTTAAATACCATTTAAACTAATCATTTTCATAGAAGAAATAATTACTTATTACGCATCTATGATGAATAACAAAGTAGAAGATAATATTTAGATTAATCTCTTGCTTAATTTTCGAAATTTTTCACAAACAAATCACTCATATTTTGCATAGTACATTATCTAGAAAGAATTAATTAAAATTTTAATGATAAATAATTCTTTATGATACGATACTAGTTTAAGTTTTTAATAATACTTTTTTCTCATTGAATAGTTAAACATATTATTCAACAAGAATAATTTACATAGAAATCAAAATGCTATTTTTACATTCTTTTATATACTGTTATATGCGTAAGTAAAAGACAGAAGAATCACAATTATAACCTAACATAATACTTCTATTAATTAGAGATTAAGAATCTTCATGGTTGAAATTATGAAAAAAAAAAGAGAATATTCCTGAGATATTGTTGATAATTTAAGAATCTATTTTTAAACGGAAAGAAATAATTTCTATTCGAATAGTCTATCTAAATAGTATAAGAAATGAATTAAATTTCTACCTACTTGACCTAGATTAAATCCTATTATATAATATGATAGCATTTTATTCTACTTTTTCAAGAAAAAAAAACTCCTATAATTTACTATTAATATAGAACAAAATATATCTTGAATACAATAGGAATATAAAAGGTGAATCAGTCGAACACGCATATTTATTCTTAAAATACTAAATACGTTCTTTAAAATGGATAAACTAATTCTAGAAAATACTTTGAAAAAAAGAAATACCATAGCTCAGCAATAATTAGAATTGTTCATTTGTCTTGTCAAGTACAAATTTTTAATTAATTCAATAGAAAATCTGCATTGATGCACTTAGAAAAAACGAACAATATTTCCGCTTGAAAATCTCAATAATATCATTGAAGTTTTTATTTGTACTATAATTATGTGAATAAATATGTTATAAAAGTAAAATATATTGTATCTATATTTGGATAGTGATGGTGTAGAATCCTGCAGTACAGTTCCGAATTCTGAAAAAAGTTTGTCTTGCAGAACTTCAAGTGATAGTGACACATTGAATGTATGACATTATGAGCAATCACTCTCATCAAAAGCTACAGAAATACAGGTTATTGATCATACTGATTCATTTTAGATCTACCCATATTATAGAATTGTCCATAAGATAAAAAACAGAAATGAGTTTTCAGTAAAATAATATCATGTTGTACGTAGTGTCTTACAACCGGAGCGAGTACTCGGCGGCAGTCAACTCAGCTCAAAGCATGGGTTCGAATACTGGACATGATTTCATACCCAGCAATTAATCAGATCTCGATATTTCAAAATATCTTTACTTTTTCAAAACTGATTCGATCATTAAGTGAGAAATTTATTCTACTTGAGGACAGGTCACAGAAATGAAAAGTGATATTGTTTTATATTGAAATAAATTATTAAAAAGATGAACATGTATTATTGTAATGAAAAAAGCATTTATGCATGTGCATTCACAATTATGACGCTTGACAGCAACAAGCAAATGTTTACTTAGCGAAATTGATGGAATTTTAGAAGCAAAAAGACATCGAGTGGATTCCGATTCACTTACTTTTTTTTTGTTGCTATTTATAAAAAAGAAACTAAATAATATACTTTTTCATATAAAATAAGTTTCAAAACTGTACTATAATTGTGGTTGTATTTTCTGCAAAGAAGAATGATTTGAAATAGAAAAAATTACTGTGTTTTCCATATACATTCCTTTATTAGACTCAAAAAAAAAAGTGTTAATTAATTAAAAAAGTAGTAATTATTGATAAGCTAAATACAAAACATATTTTTTCTGAACATTCGTCAAGTCTTACAAGACAGCATTTAGAACAGATAATAAAACTTTTATTGATTTTTTTTTTTTGTTGTGTTTTAGATGAACCAATTAGTGATCTTATGGATACATTTGGTATTGAATTTGTTTCCTATATTTCAAATTATGGTTATGATCGTGTATTAAGAATTCTGTATGTTAAAATTTTTATTTGACGAAATAAGTTCGTGTTTTTTTTTTTGTTCTAGTGGACATAATATGCGAGATTTTCTTAATGGTTTGGATAATTTACATGAATATATGCGTTATACATATCCACGAATGAGACCACCATCATTTTATGTTGAAAAAGAAAATGCTCATGGTTTAACACTTCATTATCGTAGTCGACGACGCGGTTTTGTTCATTATGTTATTGGACAAATAACTGAGGTTTAATAGAATTTTAATGTAAACTTTTTTAAGAAATTTTTTTTCTAGGTTGGTCGTCGATTTTATGATACAAATGTTCAAATTGATATCGTTAGTGAACGAGAAGAATTTGATATAACACATGTTGTATTTGAACTTAAATTTGAAAATACAGCGTATGTTAAACAATCAACAACAGATAAAGATTCCAATGAACTTGATTTAGCAATAGATTGTCATATTTTTTTTGAATTATTTCCATTTCATATGGTTATATCAGAAGCATTAGAAATTATATCAGCTGGAGATTCTTTAACACAATTATTTCCAAATATTGTTGGTGAACTTATTCGTGACATATTTAATCTTGTTCGGTAATAAAACGAAAAATAGATTGGTTCTTGTTTTTTTTTTTTTTGAAAAATAATATATATATATATATTTGTTTTTTTTTTCTTAGACCTATTATAACATTAAATTGGTCACAAATTGTATTACATTCAAATAATGTTTTTGAATTTTCAACTATTGAACCATTACGTAAACAACCAAATGAAAATGATTTAGAAATAAATGATGCAAGACAACAACATGATTCTGGCAAAATTAGAAATTCTTGTTATTTCTTTTTTTTTTAAAATAGATTTGTTTCATTTAATTTTAGAACTACTTTTAACTATGACAGGACATCGAGATGTACATGAAGAATATTTACGTCTACGAGGTCAAATGTTATATGTACATGAATGGAAAGCAATTATTTATTTAGCTACACCAGTGTAAGTTACACCATCTAAAAAGAATATTGAAGTATAAAGTGTAGAAATTTGCAACCATCACATTCTTCTTTCCTTCCCGGGGCTTTTTGGAAGTGCAAAAGGCTAAAAGTTTGACAGGTTGTCTATCTGGCAGAAAGTGATTGAGAAAAGTTGTCTTCTTAAATTTGACAGTCAGTTTTCGACAACAGCTCAAGTCTTTCGCAGATATGATAGGACACATTAGCAGAACTTTCCTCCTTCCATGTCGCTGATATTCAGACTTCGTAGCGATTCATCCTGAATATAAAGGAAAATATAGGACAATTTTTTTCACTAAAAAGCCTTTTAAAAGGTTTGCCAAACCTTACAGTTTCCCCAAAATCATAAAATAGGTCATACTTGAAGTTGCTAAATAAATTGAAAACGAACATATATTTTAATTACTGGAAAAAAATTTCAATTCAAAGAAATCAGTTCAAACGCAATGATAGTTTCTGTTTGTTTTATCAAAAAAGGGTTGACTAATATCTATATTGAAAATAATATAAAATAGAAACATAATAAAAACTCTTGAATTTATTTGTATAAACAACTTGCAAGAGAAAAAATGCGGGTTTAGGACTCAGCACATCAACACCAGCTCAGTAAAACTTGCTCGAACGATTTTGAGATTGATGAATGTAAATCTAGAAGTGATTTGTCGAAATTCTTGAGTTCAATGTTTTCGATCAGTGGAGATCAATTTTAAAACAATAGATGAATTTAATAAAAAATCGGCTAAATCACGAGAATAGGTTTATACTAACCAAAAAATATCGAACTCAAATATTTTGAGAAACCTCTTGTAGAATTCCGGTTCCTCAACCCCAAAAAGATTCGATCAAATTGTATAAAGAATTGTTCTTCTCGAAAAATACTTCTGTTTTGATTGAATAGTATGACTCTCAACTTTAGCTGTCACCTCAATTTCTGTCTGGTTTTTCAAAACTCTGAGCAATTCAGCATCTTCCTAATACCACACCACCGTTCAACATCTCAGCACTATTTCAGCATAATCTGGTGTAGAGGTGTTACACTTATTTCTTTGGCAACTTGTATTATCTGTTTTTCTCTTTTATAATTATTGACATTTAATACGCGTAAAAATGATATAAACAAACATATAATATATATAAGTGAACGATAAGAAAAAATCTTTTTCAATCAAGACTAATCGTTGAATTAAATATAGTTTTTTTGTTGTTGGTATTGTTTTCAAATACATCTTTACTTCTCTTTTGAATATTAATTAAATTCTGTGTACCTTTCGATAATTTCTCACCTACAACTTTACTTCGATTATTGCCATCGTCAATCAATATTTTACTGTCAATAGTTGCCATTCGTTTTATTGTAGAAGCTAATGGCAATATATACAGAAGCATATATGTTTTATCTGATTGAAGTATATTTTATTTAAAAAGAATCTTTACTTTTTTCAAGATATATATATAGGAAATATAGGACAAATGCCCAAAAAAAGAGAACATTATAAGATGACTATGAAGTCTGCAAGTATTGTTGATATATTATTCAAGATCGTATATGAATAATGCTTCGTTACAATATATGAACTACCATCTTATTGAATTTCTGAAAGTGAAGAAATGTGTTCCAAAATAGATAGAATAAAACAATTTCTCTATGATTAGCAATAGAAGCTATATCGTGTTTCATATTTTAATCCTGCATGGATTATGTTAACAGTTTTTCACTAAATAATATCATATGTAACAAAGCTTTGCAATGTTTCATTAAAATAAATATTATGGAAATAAAAGAAAAAGAAAACTATTAACAATTGAATGTTTAAAAAACTATACTAAAGTATCAGATACTTCTGAATAGACATGCGTAGAGATTGAACTTGAACCTACATTCAAGTACTATCCTATGCGTTCGGATAGTATTAAGTATACAGGTAATAGTTCAAAAATTTCTGGAGATATCTGAGCTATCATAGAGTTATTTGAAGGCTTGTACAAGATTTTTCTTTAATATTTTCCTGGAATACTTACGGCCTAAAAGCTTTTTGGTTCGTTATATGGTTGTTTTTTATGTAGGCTATTGCTATGTTTGTTTTGAACACGAATTATTCGTCTGATTAATAAATTGTTTTTGAAACAACTCTTAATTTATTATGTAAATCCTATAGTAATCTAAAGATATTTGTGCACATTGAGTAATGACTATTTTTCGTAAGTTTTTGCAATAAAATACTGTGATCACCCTTAGATAATTTTCAATATTGACACTTACAATTACATCTTATGTAATAAAATTTTAGACTTTCTCTAATTATAATATGACCTATTTAAATATCAATTAAATCGAGAGTTTTACAATCTCTATAGCTTCTTCATTTGCGTTTAATATACATAACGTCTCGTTTTATATTTTTAGTCTTGAAAATCTAGATGCTATGTTTAATACTGGTCTATTTATAAATGATCTATCAATGCATGATTCAAGTCGAGATTTAGTATTAGCTGGTACACAACAAAGTGCAGAACTTAAATTAGCACTTGATCAAGTAACTACAAAAAAAATGAAATTTTTATAGAATTATTTTATTTTACTCTTTTTTTTTTTTTAATTATTAGGAAAAACAAAAAAGTAAAGCATTAGAAGATAGTATGAAAAAATTGGATGCTGAAATGAAAAAAACTGATCTATTATTATATCAAATGATACCAAAGAAAATTGCTGATCGATTACGAAGTGGAGAAAAAGCAGCTAGTCTTTGCGAGGTTTGATTATATTGACAATATTTTATTTCATATTAGGGAGAGAGAGAGAGGCGGGGGTGTTGGTTTCTAGTTTCAAGAACTTAAAACATAGTATGGTGGTTCTAGTTACTGGAAACCCATCTCATCATTGATTTTGTCTCAAGATGCAAGTTTAGAAAGTATTTTTATAGAGCCTTGTAGAAGAAGACTCTTCTCTTTCTGATAAGAAAATTATCAAATGTCCACAACAAGTTGTTGTCACACTATATTGAAAAAAAAATTTGATGAAAAACTTTTGTACTATTCATCTATTAAAATGAATCTATAATTTAACTGATAAATTGAAGAATTCCAGATACTTGTTTGAAATATTTGAGTATAAATTAATTAAAATATAGATACATTCATTCATTCATTAAACATATTTATAATAGATTATTGTGTTAAATAAATATGAAAATATGAATAATTTTATTTTTATATTGAGTTTCGTGACATTCTACTTGCGGAACAAATTAACATTGTAGTTATGTATTCATATCAAAGTATTATTCTTAATTAAACAAAATATGATATGCTAAAAATAATCGTAAACTACATAGTAGCGTGATCTAAAAATTCTATCCAAGATAATGGAAATGATGACGATTCTTAGATTTGTTTTTCTGGTAGTATGACAAAAAACTGTTGGTAGAAGGGCAACATCCAGTCTAATCCACCTTTAGTTTTTTTTTTAGTTATTATTGAAATGTTAGAAAATTAAGAATATTGATTTTTCTTTTTTTTGGAATTTTATAATATAATTTCGAAATGTGTGTTACTGTTCGTATTGTCTAAGTTCAATCAATTAATAATATTTAACTGAATGATTGATTTTTTTTTCTTTCTTTCTGTTCTAATCCAATTATAAGCGCTATCTATTGAAGAAAATCCCATTGTTAAATATAGTAACCAATCAAAGGGACATATATTTATCGTTATTGTTCATTGATATAAAATCTTTCTTTTTGTATTCTTCATATTTAGACATTTGAAAGTTGTACAATATTATTCAGTGATGTTGTTGGTTTTACAACAATATGTGCATCACTTACACCAATGGAAGTTGTTTCTATACTTAATGAAATGTATACAAAATTTGATAAATGTTTAGAAACACATAATTGTTATAAAGTTGAAACAATTGGTGATGCTTATATGTTAGCTAGTGGTGTACCTGAACGTAAATATTTATTTTTAATAAAAAGACAAAAAAAGAATGTACACAAATTAAATTTATTTAATTTTAGGTGCAAGAAATCATGCATCAGAAATTATTGATATGGCATTTGATATGCTTGATTCAATTGTTACAGTAACAAATCCAACTAATAATGAAAAACTTAAAATTCGTATTGGTTTGTTATTTAGATTTATTGAAAATAAAAAAAATTTAATGAATTTTTATTTTCAGGTTGTCATAGTGGTCCAGTAGTTGCTGGTATAGCTGGTATTAAAATGCCACGTTATTGTCTTTTTGGTGACACAGTTACAACAGCAAATAAATTAGAACAAACTAGTAGAGTAAGATATTTTCTTTAATAATATACAGATAATAGAGCTCGTCGGATTGGTTCCGAGTCGATTCTGAAAGTTTTTGGACTTGATGGGATCTACTGCCCATTTAAAAATTTTTTGAATAACTTTTGATAGGAACAAGATAGAGAGCTGTGGTTTTCACCGTTGCAAAGAGGCTGATTCAGCGTATCAACTCATATGAAATTGTTAAGGTTTATCTGAAAAATAGATAGTGATCCATTATCATCTTGAAAGAGTAGACTATTGCTCTTTGAAGATAGAATGAATCTTAAACTATGAGTAGTGCGTTAGAATCGCGAGCTCAAGAGCTGCAAAACTATATATAATGCTTGATTCAAAACTTTACTGGTTTGTGAGTTCTAGGTACTATATTCGACAATTATAGTCCATTTTGCCAGCGTTTTCTGTAAAAATCAGGCCTGTTTTTAAGGCATTTTTTTGTTCAACTATTGCAAAAGGTTTCAAAAATCCAAGTTAAAAATCATTGTTTTATACTGTTCGATACGTTTTTATCTGCTCTTTCCAACGGTAAAAACCACAGCTCTCTATCTTGTTCCTATCAAAAGTTATTCAAAAAATGCTCACGTGCCTTTTATTTTGAAATAGGCAGTAGTCGTGGCATGTGTTTCACTGTCTAATTAGAACAGGGTATAGTCGAGTCTTGAATCCTGTCTCGCGAAACGTGCTAAACGGGATTTTTTAGGATTCATGGACTCTACTGTATAGTTATCAAAATGTTTATCATGTAAAAGGAGTGTCCTGTAAATAAACTCAATATTTATTAATGAACTTATTTATTTTCTAATTAGACAGTGGAACACCTACTTAATCAATATCATATTGTCTAATGATAAATTTAACTATTATTACAGTGTCTTGGCATTCCTTTAGCATATTTAATTTGTCTTTCTCGATAGTTTGTGTTTAAAATAACATATGACAGTTATTTCCTTTCTATAATAAGTGTCTACTCGATTTAATAGTAGAATAGGTTCGAATAAGATCAAGGATATAAGTTGGACTCATGAATACAAAAAAGATATAGAAATACAGTTTTTTTTTCAGTAATATAGAAATCTTTTAATTCATATGCATGGATATTATTGTACATAGTCGTAGTCTTGATTGAATCTAAATTGAAATTAAAACTATTGATAAAATTTCTAATAAAAATATGAATATTATTGAATTGTTTATCTTAAATATAAACTTTCAAAGAAATATCATTCATTACTTAAACCATGATATTTAAAGAATTAAGAAAAAAAAAGACGAAATAATCTGTACCTTTTTCATTTCAATTCATAAAAACTATTCTTGTAATATCTATCTTAAGATTTATTTAATTTTTTTTTCATATTATTAGTATATAAAACATTCATTTATATATCTTTATTAGGCATTACATATTCATGTTACTGATTCAACATATCAATTACTAGATCGTAAAACATATGACGTTCAAGAACGTCCAAAAATGACAATAAATGGCGCATTAACAGTAACAACATATTTTATATTAAATAAAAAAGATCGTACAGGCAAAATTATAGTACGTCCATTTCAAGCTGTATTAATTGATATGAAACGACAAGACGCTGAAGAAGCCAAAATAAAACAATCAATGAATCTTAAAAATGCAAGTATACAAAATATAGTTCAACCAGTACCAAAAGAAAATGGTATTATTCAACCACCACAAACTCAAAATGATACAAATTTTATGCCAATTGAATCTAATACAATACCTACACCTGCTATAATACATAAAGATGTAGATCCGACAGCACATTTTGTACAACGTTCTTTAATAAAACCTAAATTAGCCGATGAACAATCACTTAAAGCAGCTGAAAGTATTATTGAACAAAATAATTCATCAAAACTATTTCATAGACCACATCGTAGTAGAGCATGTGACCTTCTTTAAAAAAAAAAGACAACAAAAACATTTTTCGGAGAAAAAACTAAAGCAGATTTTTTCTTTTTCTTATTCTTTGCTTTTAATGTATATTGCTTTGTGTTTGAATAATAATGTTGCAATTGATTTGATTTATGTTTAATAAAGACAAAAAAAAGAAAACAAGACAAATTCTGGTTGGCTTCTTTTTTTCTAGATTTGAACTTTAAAAAAAAAAAAAAAAAGACAATCTAATTATCAATGTAAGTATATACAAAAAAAAGAAATAGGAGTTTCTTTTTCTCCCTTCTAAACTAAGAAAAAAATATGTCAAACGATTTCATTCTCTTTGCTTCAGGAAGAAAAAAAAATTCAAAATGAGAATTGCTCACAACAGAGTGACGATGTGACATACGAGAAAAAGAATGAGAAGAAAAAAAAAGAAAAAAAAGTACACAGTTCTCTGGTGGACAAGAAAAAAGAACGTAACATAAAAGCAGCAAACATGTGCATTTAATAGAAATATATTACTTTTATGAAAAAAGAACACACACTTGTGATCAAATACATGTTTGCTTCATCTAGTGATCATACTGTTATTATTCCAGGTCTTTAAATTCTTAAAAAAAAAAAAAAAATAACAAATCATCTTTTATATTATTCTCTTATTTAGATATACCTGTACAATCAAATGAAAATCTCATTCCTATAAAAATGATTGATAGTTCTATAATTTCAATTCAATTAATAAGTCCACAAAGTGGACGTTTAAAACGTCGACATTGTTTTCTATTAATATTTATATTTCTTTTTTCAATATTAAGTTTATGTACTATATATATATTATTTCCTAAAATAGATGCGTATGTATAAATCAAAGAATGAATTTATTTATTTTTTTCTTTTATTTTCAGTACAGATAAAAATGCACTTAAAATTCCAAAAACTATTGATGATGCTAAAATTCTTGGAAATATTTTATATAAATATAGTAAACATCATCGATATATTATAATGATTGCTTTTTTTCTCACATATATTTTGTAAGATAAAATTTTCATTTGATTAGAAGAAAAAAAAAAAAGAAGAATATTTTTTATTTTAAATTTTAGTTTACAAACATTTGCAATACCAGGTTCAATATTTTTAAGCATATTAGCTGGATTTTTATATCCATTTCCTTTAGCATTATTTCTTGTCTGTTTATGTTCATCATTAGGTGCAAGTTTTTGTTATTTACTTTCTCAAATATTTGGTCGACATATACTTTTAAAATATTTTCATGATAAAATAATTTTATGGCAAAAAAAAGTTCAAACACATACAGGTAGTCTTATATGGTTTATTATATTTTTACGTATAACACCAATATTACCAAATTGGTTTATTAATGTTTGTTCACCTATACTTGATGTACCATTAGGACTTTTTTTTGCTGGTACATTTGCTGGTGTTGCATTACCATCGATATTATTTATTCAAGCTGGTAAAACACTTCATCAATTAACATCAGCATCAGATGTATTTTCATGGCGTTCAATGTTAATACTTGGAATTTGTGCAATTTTATCATTAGTTCCAATACGTTTTAAAGATAAAATACAAAATTTTTTTAAAAAACAAAGTTAAAATAAAATTTATAATTATTTTATTGTTTGAAATAAAATATTTATATATTAAAATATTTTTCATTTGAAAAAAAAAAGAATCATTGTTTTTACTCTAGATGGGTGTTAAATATCTTTGGTCAATTTTAGAACCTGCATGTAAACAAGGTTCATATGATGATTTAGCAGGAAAAACAGCTGCAGTAGATTTAAGTATTTGGATTATTGAATGTCGATCGGTGTCAACAAATCATCGAAATTCACTTCATTTAAGGTATATTATTGTATTTTTATTTCTATGAACTTTTATTATTAAATTGAGAAAGAACGTGAGGATTCTTCCCTCCGACAAACCTTGTTATATTATACTTCTTAACGTAAAAAAAATTTATTTTGGTATCTAGCTGGCTTTTTCTTGTCATCAATAAATAAAAGGATTTTTATCGAAAACCTTGCCTATATATACATTAAATGACTTAAACGATAATTTGAAATATTCAAACAAAATAAATCCTACTCTCTCGAAATCTTAACTTGTTGTGTAAATTCGAAGGTCTACCTGTGTAATTCTAGAATAACCATAGAATCAATATTTGATCGAAACTTTAAAAAAAAAAAATCTTATTTGAGAATAGCGAGCTACAAGTGACAATCCTTCTGAGGTAATGATAATCGAGAGAATTTTCTTTGTTTGTGAATGTTTTTTCTTATCAATCTGACAACCATGATTAGTAAGTCTAATGAAGGAATATAATTGAATGTACCCTCTGAGATTCAGTTCAAAGGTATTCTATCTGTTAGGGTCTTCGATAAATATCAAAATGTTAGCTGTCTTCGTTTTTGGTTTTGCTCAACGAAAGTGTCTAACTTATTCAGTTTTCGGCTCTTTCTTACCAGCAGATGTATTATGTCATTTTTCAACAGTTTTTTCTATAAGCGTCATTATATGTTATAATCAGACGAACGAAACTAGGCTGAAGACAAATACCTAGCTGGTAGTGAGGGCAAGGACTATGGTTCTCTTTTGATACAATTACAATGTATTGTACGCTATACATAGATAAATTCAGTGATTTAAATAAATTCCGGTAGCCCTTTTCAAATTTGCAAGAATACACTGTTTTCTTTTTGATGAAAATAATTTAATATGAGTATAAGTCAATATGCAGGAGTTGTCTCGATATCACAAGTAAAGGTATCATATTTATTTTTGCTAACTGAGCTCTCTATCTACTGCGTTCCTATGACGTCTCTTCCATATCAATTTATGCTTGTATCAAATTACTTTCTCCAAATAAAACTGCTTATTTTCTTGAAATTTTGACAAAAGCGAAAAATGACATGACGTATCTACTAATGCCCATTTCACCTGACAGGTGATTATAGTGAGTTTTCAATTATTAGGTGTGCATTTAAACTACCAATGAGAGATCTATAAAACTATGCAAACCTCATATTTGTAGATTTAATTATTCAGAAATCATAGGTATTCTTGTCGAAATTCTCAGTCGATTGTTTTAAGCGATCACTGCGAAAAAAATCAAATGTTTGCTTTTTTTCTTATGTTAAAAGGAACTAGTTTTTTGACACTTTTATTCAAAAAGTAGTCGCCTATCTTGTTCTTTGAAATGAGCATTAATAAGAAAGTGTCTAAACATGAAAAAATTATACACTCTTGTTTTTCGTGACCGCAACCGAGGCAACTAAGATATTGATATTTGAGATATTTATCGAAATTCCTAAAGGATAAAATAATACTTTTGACTTCATTCTCAGGTAGGTACACTCAAATATGTTCCCTCGTAAATAACTTTTGTTTAATGTTATTTTCGATCATTTTTCTTTTTATAGGACATTATTTTTTCGTGTATTGAACATGATTTATTTCAATATTAAACCTATATTTGTTCTTGATTCAACCAAGATAACTGATTTAAAATTAGATGTTATTACAAAACGATTAGCATCGAAAAATAAAACAACCGATCAAACTCGTTCAGGTTTCAATGTATTAATTAATGAAGTAAGAATGTTCTTTTTTTTTTTTTGTTTTTTAAATAATTTATTTTAATTATTATTTTTTTTTTGAAAAATATAGTGTTCAGAATTACTTAATTATCTTGGTTTACCGATCATACGAGCAGATGGTGAAGCAGAAAAATTGTGTGCACAATTAAATCAAATGAATGTAAGAAATCAATTAATAGATCTATCTTTCTTTTTTTCATTATTTAAAAGTATTTCAGATCGTAGATGTTGTTATTACTAATGATAGTGATTGTTTTGTATATGGTGCTAAGACGATTATTAGAAATTTTGGTATCGATATAAAGGTAACTTATCTTGGAAAAAAAAACTACATGATCAATTATTTGAAAGATTTTTTTTATTTTAGTCAATTTCATTTGATATTTATGATCGACGTGAAATTGAATTAAATTGTCATCTTAATCAACGTTCTCTATTAGCACTTGCATTACTTCTTGGTTCTGATTATGATAGTCAAGGTATACAAGGTATTGGTCGTGAAAATGCTTTAAAATTTCTTCAATCAATACCATCACATATTGATCCTGTTGATTATATACGTACAATTTTATTACGTAATAATCCACAAAATAAATATGAACAAAAAATTTTAAATATATTAAAAGATAATAATAAAAATATTAAACATTTTGATAAAATTATTAAAGAATATTCATCATTAGAATTAGATAATTTACCTCTTATTACATCAATTGCATCAATTAAATGGTTAAAACCAGTACGACTTAAACAACTTCAATTATATATGAAAAAGAAACTTGATTGGATTGAATCTTATACATTTATTAAGGTAAAATATTAACTTTTTTTTTTATTTATACTGAAAACGAGATTATTACCAATCTTTGTATAAAAAATTGAAACTTTTATTAAAGGTTAACTCGACTAGCTGATGAGGGAAGTCTTGCAACCGATTAATCGCTTTGAATTCGAAACTATGCGGCATCAGGTAGATTCGAGCAAGTGATTGACTCTGATCTTATTGTTACGAAGATATTATATCTTATAAACTAATGTTGTAGACACCCTCAATCAAACCAAGAAACTAAGACATAGCCAAGAGGAAGAACTGAAACTTTCACAATAAACTATTCTCATTAATGTTTGTCTTGATGGAAAATTTCAAGTCGAAATTCGAAAATTAGTTTTTCTAATGTACATTCCTGAGGATGACTACGATACTGACTTTAAGAATTTTATGAAATTTTTGACCTTAAGATCATTTTTCGATACTATTACTATCGAATTTTTTTATCAGTATGTTCTTTATCGTCACTTTCCATTTGAGAGGTTCTCAGAACTATGAAAATTTAAAAAAATAATCCTAGTCACTATCGCTAATCAATGCATCGCTTACATATCTCCAACGTATATACACTGGATGTTATATCTTACGAGAAAACTACCTGAAATGACACCCCCTGTTTGAATTCAGATTGAATTTACCATGAGGTCTCGATAAGATTACAAAAATCCTAAACGTGTTCGTGCCCATGGGTTTTTTGGAGCCAAGTTATGACCATTTTTTACTGAATTTCATTTTTCTAGTTTTATTGAGGTCTCTTTGGTGAACTCAAACAGTAGGTATCAGTTCAAGTGGTTTCTTCGTTAGATTTTAACAAAGAAGATAACTAAACTTCTCATATCATTTTATAATAGTTTAAACCAACACATTAGTTATTACTTAATATTTTATTTCAAAGGTTTTTCCATTGTTAACTCGTTTTCAAATTCTTTATCATCTTAATATGCTTGAACTTGATGTTAATGATATACTTTCATTATCTGATACAATCATATTTCAACCCATCTCTATAAAAAGAAGTCGTATTCGACAATCAAAACAATATTATGAAGTCGAATGGAAACAAAATAATTTATCATCAACAAAAACAGTTGAAGATCAAATGTCAAATTTATCACTTATGGTATTAGATAATGATGATGAAGAAGACGAAGAAAAATTAATTACTATTGAACCAGCTGATTTATTTCGTCATGCTTATCCTGATATAGTCAATACATTTGAAGTACCTATATCAAAATCAAAAAAACCGAAGAAAACAACAACAACAATGACAAAAGTTATTAATGATAATAAACCAATAATAAAGAAAAAAAAACTAAAACAACCATCAACACAAATTGCTGCATCAACATCAATGTCACTAGATCTATTAAGTATGATTCAAAATGAAACATGTGAAATTCCAATAATAAAAACAATATCAAAAAAAAAACATACTAAATTTAATCATCGACCAACAATGGCTGCATTATCAACATCAATTAATATTGATGTTCTTGGTGTATTACAAAAATCTATTGGAAATATAAATTTATTGAAAAAATCAAAATCACGACCAATTAAACATCATACTCAATCAGATATGGTTATTCATAGTAAGAAAATTTTTGAGAGACCTATAGAAGATCATGAGAAGGACTTTTTTTAAAAAAAATATTTCAAATGATTATTTTGATTTGTTTTCTTTTTCTTATAGCTCAAAAACCTATTACTTTATTAAATACATCATTGTCACTTGATGTATTAGATATTCTTTTACGTGAAAAACATCCATTCAATAATGATGAATGCGAAATAACCAACGTTTTTGTCAATAAATCAATGAAACAGAAACACAAAAACCATGATCATATACTTCAATTATCATCTTCCGATAATACTGATGATGATGATGATGATGATGATTATAAAGATGTTTTGCCTCTTCCACTTTGGGATCGAATTCGACAACGGACAGCTATTTAATCGATTTGATATTCGTTTAAATGTAATTTTCTGTTTATAATTGTAGATCCAATGGATCATTTTTTTCCTTTCTCTCTCTCTCTTTCAATGTCAGATTTTCTTCATTCTTTTTTTTTATCGAATGATAATGATGATAGTGCTTATTATAATACATATTCCAGTCAAATACAGATATGTAAATAGATTTTTGGATGTAAATA